CCAGGTATGATAAGGCGATGAACTCCACAGGATTTCAACTTAAACGCGATTGGAAAGCTCCACATAAGATAATCAAACGGTTAACCGACCTAATGTAGCGATCAGATTTATGTGGCGAAAATATCAAATACGATTGGCGAATGAAAAAAGATGCCGATAACTAAAGCATATTCCAGAGCCCGACTATCGAATATTCTGAGTGCGACCAATTGACGAGGTATATTAAAGAGAGGCCAACACACAAATCGTACTGGGTGGAAGTTATAATATAAATCGTTGTGTATATTGTGTGACATATCTGGAGCGTTCAATGACATTTTTACACATTCCTTAAAATGGGTTAGACTCGCCAAGAGACAACCCTGCCCTTAGGGATTGGACATGTCTTACTAAACATGAGGAAGATCTAAGCGCAATGGGGACTAGATGTCGTATCGAGGAATGTGTGTGGAGGAACTCTACAAGCTGGAGTGCTTTCACCTCTACCCTGCACCCTTGCGTTTAATGAATTACTCAGCAAGATGGAAGGGCGAGCTGTCACTTTTACGACCTATGCGGATGAGAGTTCGGATCTCTGGTGAATCAGGCGCGTAGAACCATTAATAGTTTGGATATTTCAACTAAAGCCTAGCACTAAGTATCTGGGAATTATGTTGGGTAGCAAATTGTCATGGCGACTCAATGTGTAAAAGGATGTTGGGTTGCACTTGGTGTCTCTTCCCCGCTATCTTCCACTGGAGCGTCATTGCTCTTGTGAAACCAATACTTTTCGACCGAGCTTTAATACATATCTGGATAGGCTGGAAAGATTATTTTGACTTCTAATGATCAGCATCACTGGGGCACTCAAAACAAGATCATCTGCATCGTTCGATGCGATTCTGAGCATTTCTCCAGCAAACCTGGAGCTAAAAACAGAGCATTCCTATCTGCTGCGACGCTATATACCTACCGGGAGCTGAATGTCAGGAAGCTGTTTTCAGCTACAATAGAGTCAAATGGATGGAGCATAGGTCTGAAAAATGTAGACAAAGCTCTTTACGTTTTTACAGATGGTTCTAAAGTGAACGAAAAAGTGAGGCCTTCAGTGTACTGCGTCCAACTAGAAATGAGGAAGTCGTATAACCTACCAAACTATTGCAGTTTCTTCCGAGCCGAGGGCCGAATTATGTAAAGGAGCTATTCAAATAGTGCCTGAAACCACAGCTACAGCTACATGGGCATTGAAGGTAATGCGATAGCTGGCAATCTGGCTAAGGAGTGAAGCAGAAGGTGGAAGTAATACTACTTCGTCAGGCGAATAGGCTCTGTGAACGAGCTAAGAGCTGCATAATCAAAAAATAATATATGTCCCCTTTTGGCGTCTCATACGTTTAATATAGGTCTGAATGGGAACAAAACATGTAGAAAATGCATGGAATGTGTTGAGACAGTCGAGCACGTAATCTGTGAACGCCCGGCATTTGGAAGACAAAGGCTATGCTTACATCGCGCAGAAAGGCTACAGGGTCATCAATCGGCAATGGCCAAGGAGGCAGAATGACTACATAATTTAAGGAAAAGAACAGCAATGTTCTTCACACTAGAGACACAATAGGAGTGTATCAGTACAGCTTAATCGCATATAGTGTGCTTGGCAATACTACGTAGACGTATTATCGTCTATATGAGACCCAATGAGACAAGCAGTGTAGGAACTTTAGTTAACGTCGTTACTGGCGACTAATCTTGGTTCTATCATTGCGATCCAGAAACCAAACAGCAGTTTATGGTATGGAGTCCAACAGGAGCAAACCCACGCGTGAAATCTAAGCAGCAGAAGTAATGATGTGAGCTTACTTCACCAGATCTAAGATCGAAGATGCTATTCCACTGGAAAAGGGTCAGACGGTAATTGCCAAATGGTACGCCGAAGAGTGCTTACCAAAAATTTTCAAAAATTTGTTGGAAAACAGGAAGAAAGAGGATTTGCGGCGCTACTTTTTACATCATGACAACGCGCCATCCCACACTTCTGAAAGAACGAGTAATTTTATTGCGATCTCTGGGTGGGATCGAAGAAATACGTCCAGCACTCTATACCCCGGATATAGCACCTTGTGCTTTCTTATTATTTCCAAAAATTAAAAAAAAATAAAAGGAAAGGTCTTTAACAGCAATGGAGAGATAATTAATGCGGTTAATGCTGAATTTGCTAAGCTTAAAAAGCAAGATTTTGAAGACTGCTTTCAGAAGTGGATTTGTAGACTTAAGACATGCGTTGAAATCAGTGGCGATTATGTGGAGAAGATAAAAAAGGACACAGATTACGAATAAAGACAAATATTAGGTTATCAAATATCTCCCCTCCGCTTTTTTGTCCTTTGACAGAGGTCGTATCTGGCAACACTATACATAATTTTAAAGGTCTTGACATAACCTACAAAACAACGCCATGCATAATTAGTTTGGATATTGCTTTCAACATTTATAGGCGCGTAAGCATGGAGTTCACTAAAGCCGAAATTCGCGCTATTTTAAAGTTTTCCTTCGTTAAAGGCAAATCCGCTAGAGAAACGTTCCGTGAGATTAATGGTGTTTTTGGAGATGGTACTCACTCCGAGCCGCGGAGGAATTTTCTCGACGATTCAGAGCCGGTGATAACGACACCATGGATAAGCCAGCCGGCGGAAGACCTGTGACGACAAATACCGATCAAATCATGGAATACATCGAGTTAGACCGGCATATGGCACCTCGTGACATCGCCCAGGAGATGGGAGTTAGTCACCAAACCATTTTTAACCATCTGCAGAAGGCTGGATACAAAAAAAAAGTTTGATGTTTGGGTGCCGCATAATTTGACGCAAAAAAACCTTCTGGACCGAATCAACGCCCGCGATATGCTGCTGAAACGGAACGAACTCGCCCCTTTCTTGAAGCGGATGGTGACTGGCGACGAAAACGGTCGTGGTCGAGGTCCGGTGAATCGTCCCAAACAGTGGCCAAGCCGGGATTGACGGCAGGAAGGTTTTGCTGTGGGTTTGGTGGGATTGGAAGGGAATCATCCACTATGAGCTGCTCCCATATGGCCAGACGCTTAATTCTAGCATCTACTGCGAACAACTGGACCACTTGAAGCAGGCAATCGACCAGAAGCGTCCAGAATTGGCCAACAGGAAGGGTGTAGTGTTCCACCAGGACAACGCCAGACCACACACTTCGTTGATGACTCGTCAGAAGCTACGGGAGCTCGGATGGGAGGTTTTATCGCATCCACCATATAGCCCGGACGCAGCGCCAAGTGATTACCACCTATTCCTGTCCATGGCGAATGCCCTTAGTGGTGTGAAGTTGAACTCAAAAGAGGCTTGTGAAAAGTGGCTGTCCGAATTCTTCGCAAATAAAGAGGGGGCTTCTACGAGGAAGGTATTATGAAGTTGCCGTCTAGAGGGAAACAGATCATCGAACAAAACGGCGCATATTTTAACGAAATCCGATCACTGTAACACTTTTTATAAAGCGTTAAATGAAGAGCAAAAAAGCGGACGGGAGATATTTGACAACCTATATAGTTTTTATTTTTCTCCTTGTCAACTTACCGAACTTTTGTCAATCCCCTCATATATATGTGTGTGTGTATTTTTGTAAACTCATTATTATTTTTGTTTATCACCTACGTACCGAATTCTAACTAAATTCAACTATAAATACGACTTTTTCGAATAGGTCAGTCCCCGGTCCACTTTCCGAAATTTATTTTCTTGAAAACCTTTCCAGAAACAATCTGATGAAATTTCAAGTCATTCATTTTTGGAAATTGCTGGATTTTTCCATGCGGACATAAGATTTTTATATATAAGAACGATAAGAACTAAATCGAATCGAATATGTCTTTTTTTAAATGATATCATTTTAAAAACTGGATATACCTGAAATATTAATTAATTTTTCATAATTTTGTAGTATTTTTTGTTGCAATCCATCATTTTTAAAACTAATGTACCTAATGTGAATATTATTAATATAAATGTATTTTTAATTGAATTTTAAAATAAAGACTGAAATATATAATATATATTAACTATTGTATTAAAAATAAAACAGTTTTTGTTGTTGCTATTCAATCATTTTTATCAGTTCAGATTTTCGATTTATAAGGAATAATATATCATAGTTATTGGGCTAATATAAAGGTTTAAAACCCAGCACATCACCCAGCTTCCGTTGAGAAATTAGAAGTTAGGAAGGCATAGAATTAGAATATATTTCTATTTTACGTACAACGGTTGATTTTAGATTTCTAAAATTTACCAAAAAGCAGTGGCGACCAAATGAGCCCCAAAACGAATTCGAATCAAAGTTGCTGCTACGGCCACAATGAGGATAATGCATTCATAAACTTCCGGAAGCGCCGACGATGCACACAATGATATATTAGAAGGAAAAATAAAGCTTAAGCAAGAGCTTTTATTTAAACCGAATCAAATAAACTCTATAATAATGTTGAGTTGATATAGCCGTCTTACACGGAAAAATAATTTCAAGCTTATTTTCGTGTTTCAGTCATCCTTACTGAGGACTATTAGAACAAACATGTTGATATCTTTATCGTTGGACGGCTATAAAGTGTATGTAATTTCATAACTGTTGAAATACAATAAATTTTGAATACAATTAATAACTTAAAAATTTCACATATTTGCCAATTTTATTAAAACACTTAAGAAAATACTTAAACACAGAAAAAAAAACTGTATAAATAAACGCATACAAAATTGACCACAAATAAAACAGCTTTTGCACAACTTGCTTGCTTAAAAACTCAGCAAATTTCTTTCCTTCGGAGAGTAAAACATCTTACTCTCTCAAATTCGTTGCTTAATTGTTTTTACTGATATTTCTCCACGAACACAGCTTATAAATTTATAAAATAGTTCACAATTGCTTTTACGAATAACCTTAGCAACCCTATTCGTAGTAAAAAGCGATAAACTCAGCTGACAACCCAAATCTCATTGAACACGTCAGTTATTTGTTCCGCTGTCACTTTGCTCTGGTATAAATACATACATATGCCGAAGTGGGCGAAAGTTCTTGGATTTTTCTAGTGCTGATTTGGTAGTTTTGTATTCTTCAATGCACAGTACTTTAATATAAAGATTAAAAGGTAACTCAGATCTAAGTAAATTAAAATCGTGAATTTAAGTGAATCTTTATTCATATAAAACTATCCTAATCAATTTTTCTCTTATGCGGCGCTGGCAAAAATTTTGATCTGTGCGAAACTCAAATCCATCCAGCTGGTAGAAGGTGATTTTATAATATAACACACAAGGAAGCATTTTTTCTGTAGAAAAAATAAACACCGGCAACACGCCAATATGTCCGCCGAAGCCATCAATAAACCAGGTACCACGAATCGACAATGGAGTACCACGTCATTGATATCTACAATACCCCTTTTCACCGCCGCTTGTCTGCTGATAATTGCCGGTAGCTGTATTACAGGCGCCAATGCTGCCGCTGTAATGTCTGTCGATTTGGGTACAGAATGGATGAAGGTTGGAGTGGTATCACCTGGCGTACCAATGGAAATTGCGCTTAATCGTGAATCGAAACGTAAAACACCAGTAATACTTGCTTTCCGTGATGGATTACGGACATTTGGTGAAGATGCCGTAACCGTTGGCATTCGTGAGCCAGCTGCCGCATATGGCTATTTACTCGATTTATTGGGCAAGACAATAGATAACCCCATTGTTGATTTGTACAGGTGCGTATTGAAAATAATTAATATCACATATTAACATAAATTGATCGGAATCTAGACGCTGGTAAAAGTATTACATATATTTGATGTTAATGATTAGACTATCAATATACAATAAAAGTTTAAAGAAGAAATCATATATATCGCACAAAATTCCACTCAATTCACAATGTGTTTAAAATACACTCCAAAATATTTCGTTGTTTGTTCATGCTTCTTAAATGTAGTAAATAAAATCAACCTTGATTGCAAAGCGTATATTAATTACTGAAAATCAATTATGAAACTTTGAAACTTAAATTTAAATCAACCTCCATTCAACATTTGTACTGTTCGATGAACTGAATGGCAGTAAAAATAGGTATTGAATTTTACCTAACCGCGTTCGGTGTGGCAAACTCCATATAAAACTTGCACCAAAAGAGCGCATTTTTGCCATTTCGTTACTGACATTCCTCACCGAAGTAATAGGCAAAATTTCGTCTGCTTCTTCCCTATAGAAAGGAAAAGTTACTGCTTGTGCATGGGCAACCATCTCGTTTATTTTAACAAATTATTGGCCAATATTTACATTTATGTTCACAACACATCTAGTGATTCCGATACTCAATTAAAAAGTAATACAAATTTAAACACCGTATATTTATTTCGTTTTAGAAAACGTTTCCCTTATTACGAAATTATTGGAGATCCGCAGCGTGGCACCGTCATTTTCAAAAAAAGCGACGCTGAACAATTTTCTATCGAAGAACTTGTTGCACAAATCCTAGTTAAAGCCAAAGAATTCGCACAAGAGTCCACTTCACAGCCAATTACTGAATGTGTTCTAACAGTGCCCGGATATTTTGGACAGGCGGAACGTGAGGCACTACTGACCGCTGCTGAATTGGCAAACCTAAAAGTTTTACAACTGATTAATGACTACACTGCGGTCGCTCTCAACTATGGCGTTTTCCATGGGGCAGAGATCAATGAGACTGCTCAATATATAATTTTCTACGATATGGGCGCATACAAAACATCGGCCGCAGTTGTTAGTTACCAGTTGATGAAGGACAAAGTCACGAAAGAAACAAACCCCGTTGTACAAGTACTCGGAGTAGGCTATGATCGAACATTGGGTGGCTTAGAACTTCAATTACGTTTGCGTGATTATTTGGCAGCCGAATTCAATGCAATGAAAAAGACCAAAACCGATGTCACAACCAATTCACGTGCATTAGCAAAACTATTCAAGGAAGCTGGACGTGTAAAGAACGTGCTTTCGGCAAACAATGATCACTACGCACAAATAGAAAATCTATTGGAAGACCAAGATTTCAAATTGCAAGTGACACGTGAAAAGTTGGAGGAACTTGGTGCTGATTTGTGGCCAAGGGTCGCCAAACCACTTGAGCAGGCTTTGTCAGCTTCAGGCCTTTCCTTGGACACCATCTCGCAAGTTATAATATTTGGTGGTGGTACTCGTGTACCAAAAGTTCAAGAAATTTTGAAACAATCTATCAAACAAGAACTTGGCAAGAGTCTTAATGCGGACGAAGCAGCTACTATGGGTGCTGTATATAAGGCAGCAGATTTGGCAACTGGGTTTAAGGTGAAAAAGTTCGTTGTAAAAGATGCGGTCATCTTTCCAATACAAGTTACCTTCGAGCGTGACCCTGGCGACGGCAACGCCGTTCGTCAAGTGAAACGTGTACTTTTTGGTCACATGAACGCTTATCCACAGAAAAAGGTAATCACTTTCAACAAACACACTGAAGACTTTGATTTCAATGTACATTATGGTGACCTCAATCACTTGTCCGCTGAAGAAATCTCCTATATAGGCCCTTTGAATATAACACGTGTAGAATTAGAAAAAGTGAAGGAGCTATTGGAGCAACACCAAAGTGATGTAGTCGAGTCTAAGGGTATTAAGGCTTACTTTACCTTAGATGATTCCGGCATTTTCCATTGTGTTGGTGTAGAACTCGTTTATGACAAACAAAAAGAGGACGAGGGTACGCTTGCTAAACTCGGCAGCACAATAAGCAAATTATTCTCAAAAGATGGTGCTAAAGAGAGTGCCGATGGCGAAGAGCACGCAGACACTGAGCCCACAAAGCCTGATGCTGAAAACACTGAAAATAAGTCCGAAAAAGATACTAAAGAGGCGAACAAAACTGAGGAGGCAAAAGCAGCAGAAGACAAAGATAAATTAGCTGCTAAAAACGATACGGTAAAGTTAGTAACTGTTAAAGAGCCAATATCACATAAAATCACGCAGTTATTCACAAATCCATTAAGCGGTGAAGCTTTTGAAAAATCCGTGGAAAAGCTAACTTCAATTAATACAGCCGAATCCATACGTAACCGTTTGGAGTCCACCTTAAATGCACTAGAATCGCATGTCATTGAAGTACAACAAAAATTGGATGAAGATGAGTACGCTTCATGCGCTTCGCCAGAGGAAAAAGAAAAAATACTTGAATTGTGCTCATCGATATCCGATTGGCTATACGAAGATCATGAAAACCCTACCCCTGAGATGTACGAGAATCGTTTGAAGGAGTTGAAGAAGCTAACAAATGTTTTCTTAGCACGTCATTGGGAACATTCCGAGCGACCAGAAGCATTAAAGGCTTTGGACGGTATGATTGATAGTGCAAAGAAATTCTTAAGCAGCGCCAAAAATCTTACTGAGGAAGCTAATCCCGATAAAGATATATTTACAAAAGTAGAAATTGAAACACTTAACAAAGTTATCGCCGAAACCAGCGATTGGAAGAAAGTAGAAAATAAAGCACAAGAACAACTTAAACGTCACGACGAAGTGCGATTAACTGTAAAATCCGTTACTGATAAAATGTCCTTATTGGATCGTGAAGTCAAATATATGGTAAACAAGTTAAAAATCTGGAAACCTAAAGTAAAACCAACTAAAAAACCTAAGAAAGAACCCAAACCGGAAACCAGTGAGACAAGTGGAGATATTGAAAGCGGATCAGGTGCTAACAGCAACGAGTCCACCAAAGAGCAACAGTCTGAGGCCGAGAGCGCCGTAAATGTGAATGAGGAGCAGGTCGGTGCACCGGAAGCAGCAGCTGAGGAAGGTGGTGGCAAGACAACATCAGAGCCAACAACTACGGAGGAGCACACTCCACGCTCTGATTTGTAAGAGTTTAGGGGCTGAGCAGTATGTGATAGTACATATTAATATACAGATCGTTTAAGGGTCTCTTATTGCTAAGTGAATGACTGCATTAAAAAATAAACTTCGTAGTAAACGGCTATTCACTGGAAAATTACATATATAAAGATAAGAGAACGTAAGAATATTTCATTCCACCTCACACTCCTTAAAAATATATTATCAAATTTGTGTCTCTCTCTTAAACTAAGCTAGATTTTCAACGTATTTCTAGCCCATAACTCGTTAGAACTACTTACTACCATTCGCTGCGCTGATGCGTATCCATCAATTCTCAACATTTTTATATACAGCAAGAGTCTCTATGCGAATAAAAAAGTAATATAAACAAGAATTTAGTTGAAATTTTATAATTCCCAAACAGATATTTTACATACTATGTATCTAATTTATTATTAAAAAACGAATTACGCATATGTTTATGTGAAACACTTAAGTATGTACGAATTCTTTTAGAATATTCTGTAATTTGTATTGAAAGAACATAAATTTGGATTTTAAGAATATAGCAACAAATTACATTGTGTACATATAAAAATCTATAACATAATTTTTAATGGCCAAACCTTGCGGATTCAGTAGAACCTTTTAATGGAGAATATTGGTTTTTTTTAACTCGCAGAACTTGATTATACAAAGGAAATCAAGTTTAGAAGAAAGAAAGCATATATCGAACTGTTGTTGTTGTAGGGACTGGGTAACTCAGCTTAGAAGCAGAAAAAGTTACTCGAAATCATTTGAACCAGAACCAGAGGGGGTTAATCTAATAGTCATGCAAGGAATTGGTTAGTATCGGGCACCGGCTTATTGCGTGACATACATTAGATGTATCGGGATCAAGCCTAGATAAGTAGGAGTTAAGTCGACTACAGTATCCAGACCTAAATTGGGACATTAATGCTCGAGTCTCTCTTTGCAAATTGAACTCTTATCTGCAATAGGTGGTGGTTGGAGTTTAAGTACGGCTTACGAAACTGTTTTGCAGACTCAGAGGAACAGTTCTAAAATGGTGTATGGATTCTTTCAAGATAAGTTCCTAATGCCCTAGGTGTTCGTTAAGTGGCCACTCTGCCAAGTTGTTGTTATTATTGTGTATTGTTAGGGAGATAAATGTAGCACCTTGGTGACAAACTCTGCTCCCGCTACATCCACATCCAGATGTTTATTTTTATTTTTTATGCTTTGTTGTTGTTGTTGCTGTTGTTTAGGGACAGGCTCAAAATCAATCTAAGTCACCAAAGTCACGTTACGGGAGGTCCAGGAAACGTGCTGTTTGGACGGGATCGGACCAGAGGGAGAAGGGGGTTAGATGTGTCGGCTTGAAGAGGTGGTTAATGTCGTGCGGAGACTCTCCAAATGCTGGGTATAGGTAGGGTATGTTGTGGTCGAGTCTGCTATAGGTGGTTGTTTATCTCCGAGTACGTCATTTACGGGAAGGGAGTCTTTGAGGTATTGACTGACTCCTGGTGAATGTCGTTCAGTCCTTGTATGTACGCCGTCCTGTCCAGCGGTTGTTGCACATGTTGCTCTATAGTATCCTTTAAGTATTGTACTCCCTTTCTGATGTGCCTGGATGGACGTTCAGCCTCTAAAAGATGCCTACTGCGGAGTTCTTTGCGGTAATATCCCAATATTAACTGCTGGCACAGCAAAGCACTATGCTCCTGAACTCGTAGCATAGAGGCTTCGTTGTGCTAGTGATGCTCGGGCGACATGAGGAGGTTTTCTGTGGCGGTCCTGAGCGCAGTTTTCTGTCGTGCCTGTAACTTCTTGATCGTGAGCGTAGTTTACGACTGGTTTATAGGCTGCCAGAAAGGTATGTCTAAGACTTTGATTACTTTGTTGCCGCTCTGGAGTTTTGCGCAAATTGCGGTCGTATGCAGAGCGAAGGAGTGCAGGCTGTCAAATTTGACTCCTAGTACCTTTGAGTTATTTACGGTAAGAATTTTGACGTGTATAAATTAAACAATAGTGGGGAATCCTTTGATCCCGACAGTAGTAAGGATGCCTAAATGTCCGATAGTAGCACTGAATTATTGAAGGTGTCAAAAGCTTTTGATAGATCCAGTGCTACCAGGACAGTTCGCGCGCAGAGTCGGTTTTGGTTAAGGCCATTACTTCCTGGATGTTTATGGCGTTTAGTGCTGCTATGGTATTGTGCACATTACGGAAGCCATGCTGATGCGCTTCTGGACGCAGATGGTGAGTGAAAGCCGGGAGCAGCAAAGTCTCAAAGAATAGAGATATGGGGATAGGACTCCCCTTTGTTAACTGGTTTCCACACATTAGTGTGGTCCTAGACAAGTTGAGGACCCGCTGGTCCAAGAAGTGGATGGATTTGGAGGCTTTCGCCTTTACAATCAACACCTGAACGTCTTCTCTGAAGAAATCAAGCGCCACGCTGGTATTTCCGGGGTTACTAATCGCTTCGTTTTGTCTTCCGAAGGATGCAGTGTAAAAATTCGACTAAAATAGCACCGAATGAAATTTCTACTCGGTTATCGTGTCTCGTCGGGTTAGACACTGATTTGACTGTAACCCAGAGCTTGGTCGCCCAAGAGGAGAGCTTGAAGGTCTTTAAGTGCTCTTCCACTTGTTAACATCTATGCCAAACTCCGCGTTTAAATCCCTTATTATGGAATTTTTGGAATTGGCCTTACGAAGGGCGTCGCGTCTTGTTGCAAAACTGCCGTTTCCGTCGTCAAGTGTTTAGTTGTCTAGCTTTTAAGCTAGCTCCATACCTCTATGGTCATTTGACAACAAATGGTTTTTGCCTCTGACCTTGGGACAACTTAGGTCTGGATACTGTAGAAGGTTAACCTCCTACTTAACCAGACTCCGCACGGCACTAACCACCTCTTCGCATGCCTCCTTAAACCGTCCACGTTTCCTGGACCTCCCACTAGATTACCTCGGCGACTTAGATTGATCGAACCTGTACTTAAGCGGGGTTAGCGAACCGCTATAACAACAACAACATACACGCGGGGGGCAGACGCCTACAGCATGGGACAACGTATGCATCACTTCACCCCCGGGTGGTGCGCAGACCAGAGTGCGTTCGAAAATGACATCAGCCAGAGCAAAAATTGCATCTGACTGAGGCCGTGATCCGACGTACTACGGTCTGACACACGGAAACACTGTACGGGAGACTAGGAGCTGGTAGGAATGGGGATTTGTGGGAATCATGCTGCGGAAAGCTCCTTGAGGTCGTAGAGGTCTGTTGGTTACCCAAAGTGGGTAAAGGTGCTGAAGGCACTGCCATATAGGATGTGGATCTTAAAGCCTGTTCAGACCTCAAAGTGACTCCAACCATGACACTGGTACGTAGAACCGGCTGTCTTGAGAGTCGTTTTTTATGTTTTAACCCAATTCGTTGGACAGATGCATTTGAAAGATTTTGCGTAATCAATAGCCCCAAGGGATCTCCGCTCTGTAGAAATCAAGTGATCAGTGCTATCATCTTTGATGTTCGGCGAGCTATGGCAATTGCCACCACAATTATCTCTCTCGCGATCTTTGCTTATGTGGTAAAACTCAGATAATCTGAGCGGCGATTTTACTTGGTTTCTTGAATCGCAGATTTCAACAGGTATTTTAGGCTTAATAAGTTGACCACCGTATTGTTATTTCCTTGAAGTTAAATTATAAGAAGATATTTTGTCTCGGGACGTTGTTCCTAATTCAGCGGTGGAGAAGTGTCTAGTGTACATGATGCACATAACAGTAGTGTGGAGTATTAGGAGCTGCTAAGCAGTAGCTCCTATACGGGAGGATGAGATGGATGTAGAGTCGCGGTATAACAAACAGGCGCATTTGATTTTGCGGAAGTTCCGTTAGACCAAGAAGGTCTGGTAATGCTTGTTAAAAATGCATAATCGTAAGTCTCTGTGAGTCTTAAGGCCTGAAATGATCTAAATTTTGTAAATTTGTAAATTGTAGTTTTTATGGAAATGGAGAGGTCAAAAACTTTAAGTCAGCTAATGTGAAGATTTCTATGAGCCACAAATATTTTTAAAATTGAATACAATGGAGAGCAAAAAACGTGGATATAAGAAAGAAAAAGAACATTAACTAGTTTGGATTTATTGTTTGTCGGTTATTTTCTAACGAAGAAGACTGGATGTTAAAAGAGCTGCAATGTAAATTATGGATAACTTATTTCACTGTGGCAACCGTCGGGATAGGCGAAGCAGCTGCAGGATACAATTTCCTTTTCGGGTGTTTTGTCATTCCAAAAGCGAATGCATGAAGTCAATCCTAATCAATGTGATTATGTTGAAAATTTCATATATGTATATCTTTTAACTATAATGCAAACTAGGTAAACGAACATTGCACTGCCTTATCAACGTGGTTGAACAGAGGTGGCAATGGATAATTGTAGAAAAATTAATTCAACAACATGTACTAACTTGCAATATTACGATTTTGTAGATGAGAATGAAAAGATGTAAAAGTTTTGTTTATTGCTAACCCTAATAAATTAAATTTTTGGTGAAATATTGAAATCGAACTCAAGGTGTTAACTAAATTCCTATAAAAAATATAACACAAGGCTCTAACTTTAGTAATATGGCAACGTTGCAATCACGTCGCAATCGTCGTCTCCGTCTTTTCCGTCTCGTTAATTTTACCTTGTGTTTCACTTTGCTTCTTGTATTTGTTGGCGAAAGTGATTTTTCGGTTTGGTTAATTTTCACGAATCGCGGATTTTTGTGCTACTATAAGTAGAGACTTTGTTTGCATATGTGAATAATTGAAAACAGGAAACCTTTTCCGAAAAAACAGTACTATTTCGCGAACATTATAGCGAGACACCTTAATAACTAAGAGAAGACAAAGTGAAAATTGGTTGATATACATTTGTGAACAATGGAAATAGGATCCCGGACGGTGTGAGGGATAAATGTTGGAGTCTGGTTAAAAGACAACGGGGGCGGTATTGCAGTGCAAAGGGTTTGGCAGACCTCTGTGGCCAATTCCAAGTTTGTGCTCGGTAATTTCCTTCGATTCGCTTCGATTTCTTCACTGTTGTCGCAATGTTCATTCCATTTCGTCGTTTGTCGTTTCTTTTACTTTCGTATATTTGTGGTCGAATTTGAGTTCTCGATTCTGATTCATTACATATATATAATTTTATGCCTACAAATTTTAATTGGTGACTTTATTTATCAAAATTTCTACGTAAGACGACAAACAAGAGAAACACTAAAAAATTCTTGTAGAATGATTGGAGGAATGTATAATTTCTTAAAAGTGCAATATATACATATATATGTAAGTACTTATAAATAAAGTTTAGTGGTTTCATATGATTAAAACAACGAAATTCGCAAAAATAAGGATAATTAAACCAAAAAAGTGAAATCCGCCCCAATTCAACCTGCAAAAGCGATTACTGCGCAGTCGACTGAAACTTTCTGCGTTAATACTGACGCTGTGGTTACCGGAGACGGTGGTTAATGTTAACAGATAAAGTGCGGTTCACCTCTATCCCTTTACATCTCACTTTTAATCCACAACCTAATAAACGTTTTGAACTTGTGAACTTGCAAGTAATACTTGCGGGACCTTCAATAAATCCAATATTCATTGGAGTTCTGAGTTGAATTTTTTTCGCGAATCCAGCAGATACGAACTGCACAGCATCAAACCTCACGTTCAGATTTTAACAGTAAATCCGACAAAGCGAAAATTGCACAACCATTTCTAAAAGAAAATCTCGTGTAGCTTTAAAATTAGTTGATATAACAGCATCCATTTTGGCAGCAACAAAATCAGCGAAGAGAATTAAGGATTTAGCGAAAAAGGGTAGCTTATTTCTACCGTTCGCCGTAATCATTTTATTTAACCAGCTGAGGTGCACAATAACACGGTATACGGGCAAACTGTAACGCCGACAGTCCCGAGATGGCTTGTTTGAACACATTAAAATTGGAAATAAAAACACTGGAGAAAATATTTACAAAAAACCACGAGCGATTTCAAATACTGAATTCTAGTGTTGACGAGTTGACATGCCGTTTCATTGGTAAAAACGGGAAGCGTTATGATATTCATGCAAATATTACGGTGAGTTTATCTTTAGTGTTGAAACATCAGGATTTATCAAATGACTTATTTGTTAAAAGTGTGATACGTAACGTCTTTTTTACGAGATGTTTGTATTGTTCATCATAGTGTGAAGTAAGAAGTTTGATTTATTGTGTATTATAATTATTTTTATATATTTTATATTATATATATATTAGCGGTATCACAATTACTTTTCGATTTGTATTTAAAATGGCAGCTCATTTCTTTAAAAACTAAATTAATTCAATTACAAAAGTTAAATATTTAAAATTTAAAAACGTAATTACCAAAAATTTTCAACGAAAATACTGCCGGAGAGCTTGATATTGCTTGTGTTCAGGTTTTGTGTTATATATCTAACGCTTTCTGACCCAGAGGCAAGAATTATAGGTCCTTTGTAATTCAAAAACATTGTAAACAATTTTTATAGTAAATAGCTACCTACCCTATGTATGTAGATGTTATTCAAACTACATATTTATATATATACGTGTATATATATATAGGTAAATATGTAAACCTGGTTTATCACAGCTGATCCTGGCAAACCATTCAAAACAGAAAACAAATTCTCAAAATCAACAAACTTTGTTGTAATTTTCGTACATAACTTTTGATGCATGATTTTTTAATTTATCAATGAGAGATTTTAGGAAATATTAAAATTTTTTGTTATGTGCTACGTTGGTGCGTTGGTTTGTACGTGTTAAACAGCACGATAAATGCACGAATAGCTGTATGCGTGAGATTTAAAGAAGTGACTTGGGTACCTACAAATATAGTACACTCATTTATATATACATATGTATACTGTGTGCAGATCAATTTTTGTGTATAGGTATACGTGTATGTATGCTGCCTGCATTGTCATCAGGTAGGTACAAGCGTGCTTTTTATTTGTACGAGGGTATTAACAAAAGTACGTTTAGTTGACCAGAAACAAACAAACAAATATTTTTGTACGTACTCGTTATCTTTGTTCTATTAATCTCCTCTACATCGCCATGGATTTCAATGCATTTCTTAAGTCTATAAATCCACTTCTGAAAGCAATCTTCAAACTCTTGGTTTTTAAGTTTATCAAGTTCAGCGTTAACCGCATTAAACCTTTCCTTTTAATTTTTTTTTTTTAAATTTTAGAGATAACCAGAAACTACTGTTGGGCTTCATACCATAAACTATTGTTTGGCTTCTGGATCGTACTTATGGAACCAATATTTGTCACAAGTAATGACTACTAAAGTTGCCACACTGACAATTTTCGATTCTTTGTTTAGGAAAAATTTAACAAAATGCACCCGAGCCTCTTAGGCCTAATTTAAAATTCGTGGAGTCCATCGATCAGATTCCTTCGTGTATCCCACATGATTAATTCATGTGAAACAGAGATGGCATTCAAGCCCAATTCATCAATCATTTCTTGTGTCAATTGTGAATCTTCGGATCCACTTAGAATAAGTCTTTCTTCTGTTTCCGTTAGTGGTGGAATTTTGTCCGACTTATCCTCAGCTATCTTGCGTTTTCTTCTCTCCATATTAGAAGATCGCTCTGAAATTTGAAAGGAAGACTAGCTAATAAATTAATTTCAAACGATTTGGTAGTTTTAGATTTGACAAAAACAAATTGATAGTCACCAACTAATCGAACTTTTGTTAATCCCCTCGTATATGTTTTGTTTAAAAAGAGATTGAATATTAACCAAATCTTTGTACAAACCTTTCATGCTTTGTTAGAAAGTCAATCTAAGAGGGGTCTATACATTTAATATTAAATATTGAACGTAATTTTTAACTTTTTACCTAGGACCGACTGTTGTTATTGTACTATACTCGACTTTATGACGCAGAATCCCGAGAGAGAAGAATAGAGTTGTAGTATTACATGACTCTATCTAGGCTTGAAGGCTGGAGCCAATCAATTTATTTTGGCGGCCGCCGTAACCGAGTGGTTAGCCATTCGGAAGTCGTACTAACATCAAACAAATTCGAAGAAAATTAATGTAAATACAAAAATGAAGCTAAATTTTCTAATTTCGGTCACCCGTCGACAGAGAATGTCAATCCCTCCGACTGTAATGCCGACATGAATAAAGGCTCCTCATAAAAAAACAATCAGCTGTGCGGAGGCGGCTTAGTATAAACTGTGGGTCTCCAAAAATGGGTTCCTTTGACCACTGTTTTTTTCTAAGGAACAAAAAAGCAACGGTGATTTATCGGGCGAATAAGGCGGTTGTTGCACGGACACGCTGAGGGTGGGGTGGCACGGCGCGTTGTCGTGATGGAATACCCAGTTACGAGCGATGTCTGGGCGCACCCTTTTGATTTGTTTTCGCAATCTTTCGAGCACTTGGCAATAGTAGACTTGATTATATATACCTATTAAATTTCTCTGGGCAAATTATGTAAATGACCTGATGAAATTTGTACTTCGAATGGACCAAGTAAAACAATAAATAAAAGAATTAATGTTATCTGTTAGGGCTGGATTGGAGAAAGGTTGCGTAGTATAGGGTGCCGTGGGAGCTGTGTGTAATGCTCTCATCAGAGTAGTAGGTAATTGCCGAGGCTCGCCAGACATAACATCTGCAACCCATATTTTTCGACGGAAGCGCGACTCCATTCGTAATCAGGGATTTCAATCAGGAACACTTAAGATCCTCCAACCTCTCCTCTGAGGCAACCAATCTCTTGGCCCGACAAGACACAATGTCTATGTGAAAATTTCATTCGTTGACCGCTCCTCGTCGGACCCAAAGTGTTGCGCGAGCCATTATAGCCGACATTTTACACTGTACCCTTTGGTTGTCAAAAAAGGGTCTGCGTAAACTGCCAGCGCTACGCTTCATTTCTCCAGAGAGAAGGTTCATCGGGAAGGCGAAAGCCTCTAAACCCATTGGCTTCGACGGAATAAACATAGTGATACTAAAACATTATGTTGGACTAGCAGGAGCATATTTCAAGGTCACAAACTTATCTTTGACCACCCTAAAAATAACCAATATATGGGGAAATGGGCACGGTGGTCCTGCTACTCAAACCGGGGAAATTCGCCAACAAAGGAGAGTCCTATCTCTTGAGGACTGGCTACTCCCGACTTTCACACACCATCTGAATTCAGCGGCACATCAGCATGGTCATTGCAAAGTACACAGTACCACAACATAACTTAACGCCATAAACATTGAGATAAGTCAATGCCTTCAACCAAAATAGTATCTGTGCACGAATTGTCCTGGTAGAACAGGATCTTTCAGAAGCTTTAGACACCGTCAACCATTCAGTATTACTATCGCATATTGACGTATCCTCATTACCGCCGGGTTGAAGTGGTCGTACAGCATCGATAGAGTTTCGAGACGAAACATCAAAACTAAGGAAAATGAAACAGGGTGGTATCCTCTCTCTAATACTGTTTAACTTCTACATCTTGATGTTACCTCCCCCTTAGAAGGGGTACCCCTGGTATCATGTGGCTATGATTGCTCGATATTAGCGTCTGGCCAGAATAAAAACACAACTGGCAAAAAAGCAACTTAGGAATGGATTTTGTAGCAGGATAAACTCCAACCTACTCACTCCCGATTCTGAGATCTCTAACGTATGTCCATTACGTAACGAGTAAAGTAAAAACATCCCAGCACCCCCTCATGTTCCAAAACGTATCGCTAAGGTTTGTGATGCTTTATTTTATGCTAAATTCTTAACAACAATGGCCGACTTCTTGCTATTAGCTTTCCCTCACTCTATTGCTCTTACTCCTTGACATTGTCGTCTAATCTTAAGGTGTATAAAGCCCGCACATGATGCTGTCAATCCACCCTGAAACCCAATCAACCTTTAATGCTCACTTTGCCACTATTTATGTACATACATATGTATGCATGTATGCATATATACCTGTGTAATCATAATTCGTTTTTGTAGGCCGCTCTTTTTGGGTATTCTTCTTATTTCTTTTTAATCCAGATTTTTTTCAATATTTCTTGCCTCTTACTGAGAAGAGTGGTTGGGTAAAAGTATGACAACTTCTCTGTTTTTGGTTATCCTGCATATACGTGTATGCCCTCGGGGAAAAAAATCTTTTTTTTATTATTTTTTTTTCGCTCCTGCTGGTACTTGTCGCCTTTTCAAGGTATTGTTTGAGTTTTTTTAATATCATATATTCAAGTTTATATTATATTTTTTAGGGTGACGCTTTTAAGACAAAGACAGAAATTTATTGAGTTTCCACAGAACAGAATTCTATAAAAATTAACCAGGAAGCGGAAAAGAGGGTTTACGTTGAGCATGTTGGGGGCGCGTCTGGATAGGTAAGAGCTTTACCTGCTCCAGTATCCAGACTTTAAGTTGGATGAACTTAGTTATAGCCGTCAAGCGATAAATATACGAATATTTTTTTGTCTGATAGTCCTCTTAAAGGACGAAGATTTATTTAAAATATGCTTTGCAACAATGTGTCGGATTTCTTTGTAAGCACTTTCTGTGTAAGCCGGCAATACTAACGAGCAAAATTTCCCAGAACTTGAGTTTACAACTTCCCCTCCAAACTAATTGATAGTAATTCACTCTCTCATTGCAAATTTTACTTTCTTTTGTCTTACCGAGCGCGATTCAGTAGAATTTAGTAACAATCCCTACTGTCCATCAGGTCCCCGAACAGAACTGTTGTATGTTGCTATTTACTGCTTTGTACATATGTTTCTCTGAATTAAAAAGGGTGATTTTTTATATATTATCTCTTTGGCAACACTGGTTTAAACAGCTGATACAGGTTTCGTGTTTTGCATAAGCATGAATCGCCTTATAAACGAACAACACTTGCAAATTATTGATATTTTATTATCAAAATGCGTGCTCTGTTAAGAAAGTTCATCGCGCGCTTCGAAGCTCATTTTTAGCTTTCACAGCTTGGTGCGGTTTATGGGCTGGGTCATCATTGGACCGTACTTCTTTAAAGATGATGCGAATTGTAGTAGGGCTACCGTGAGATGATAATGAACTTTTTTTTGCCCAAAATGCAAGAGCTGGACTTGCATGACATGTGGTTTCAACAACACTGTGCCACTTGCCACACAGCAAGCGCAACACGCGGACTTATTGAGAGGCGAGTTCGGTGAACATTTTGTTTCACTTTCGGGACCGGCCAATTCGCCGCCTAGATCGTAGGATTTAACGCTTTTAGACTATTTTTTTGTGGAGCTATGTTAAATCTAATGTCTTTACAGACAAAACCGCTTCAATTGTCGCAGTGGAGGACGATAGTCGTGAGGTAGCGACCGAAATGCTGGAAAGAGTATGTCAAAATTGGACTAAGCGGATGCACCATTTGTGGCGCAGTCACTGTCAACATTTGCTTGAAATAATCTTCAAACGATAAATTATATGTACCGTACTATCGATTCAAAAAAAGATTTCAAGCATTTTTTTGATTTTTATTTGTTTCTTTTTTTTTTGTTTTGAAAAACTTTCCTGTAGCTCTTAAAAATCACCCATTATTTGTCTTATTATTATTTATGTACATGATGCTCCGCTCTTTGCATTGGGCTGGATTTTTACGCTCACCTTTTTACAGTTAATAATCTTGCCAGATGTGTTGTTTTTTTTTTTTTTTTTGAGTTTTGCTTCCTTCTGTTCTTGTTGTTGTTATTATTTTGTAGTTGTTGTCGGCTTTTGTTTTTTGTCTTGAGGCGTTTAATAAATTATGATTCGTTGCACTTTCTGCTCGGGTCCGGTTCAATGCTCCAATTAAAGGTTAAATCGCTTTGCAAATTTTTATTTTTTCATTTTACTTTTGCTTTTCCCCTTGGTCTCGTTTTGTGCGTGTCCCCATTCCTGTGACAAATGGAACGCAGCGCCATCAAGCTTCATCTCAATTTTCTACACACTCTCTCATACACACAGGCCTACATACATTCATATGGGAATATAAATTTGTGTTTTTTTTTTGTTTTTTTTTTTTTTGATTAACTGCAATTTTGTAATTTAAGTAGCTTACTGTTGTTGTTGGAACGACTAAGTAGAGAACTCAACTTGGTCAGTCAAATATGGTGAAATTCCTCACCACCAGCTGAAAATGCTTAGGTGTTCGAATATCATTAACATGGAGTTTCTTTTAATTGTGATGGAAGCACTTTAAGGACTTTAGATACATGGTATTTATGTATACTCTTCAGCCGGTGCGTCTTAGATATATGTATGTATGTATGTATATGCATACCTATGTGCGCCAATACATACATACACATGTATATCATCCCAAATACTTGTCAGGCTGATACTACATGTATATGTACTTTCCTCACCGATTTTATGCGTACGCCAGAAGTATATTCAGGAATTATGCGAAATTTGCTTTGACAGAGAACACCTCCGCTCTTATCTGGGACAAATAAGACGATAGTATTTTAAATTCATTTCAACTTCTATCAGTAAGTTACTTCCCTCGCTGTTGATGTGGTGACGTAGGCCAGGCCTCCAGCCAGGTTAATAGTTACGATGAAATCATTCAACAAAAAATTCCAGAATCATGTCTTTTCGACTTGGTAGGATCACGATGCGAAGGTCAAATAAGGAGCTAACCTTAAACGTTGCAGCTACATTTGCAAGGTGGAGCATCTGAAGATGCCCTCGCCTCTAACTCAATCAACCGCCATGAAATTACCACATTTATTAGCTCATACTGTCTTTGTATACGTGTTTGAGATTACTGTGTTTTAAATGCATTTCACACTATGCAATCGGTGTATGGCGAGTGCGAGTGGGTTTTAATGAACCTGGAAAGAGGTGTCTATGTGTGTTGGGGTGAAGTCCGGATAGGTTGAAGTTGAGTGTACTAATGTATTCAGACCTTAATTATGCCAGCTATCTCGCGAGATAGCTTTGAGATCTTCCACTGCTACAGGTGGCGATTGGATTTCGAGCACACCATTAACAGTAGGTGAGTATAAAAAGATTTAGGCTGTTATTTGGATTGTGTTTAGGCCCTCAAATGAGTTGCAATGGAGTACAAAGTTTACCAATCAAAAACATGTTATGGATTTCAGTTCCAAATCTAAGCTGCATGACTCATCGCACTGTAGAGGAGCTTCAAATAAATTAATCGTGCCGCGCTTCAGGGTATTTTACATTTATCGCCAAATATAAGAAACTTTATTACTGCAATATAAATAGAAAACAATTTAATCTGCAATATTACTGTTATTCATCTGACTTTTAGTTGAGTATCAAAGTGAGAAACGATTTATTCAATCAAATCCGGCGTTACTCTATATTGATTGCATTGAAGTGGGAAGGATCTTCCATTTCTAAGTAAACTTCTGTCCTATCATGAAGAGTACGATACCTCCCAAGATGGGCAAAACGTATGCCGAATACTCGAAGACCATTTTTTATTATTTAATATTGCATAGGTGATTTTCCGATCGACTTTTTTAACTTTAACCTTAATAAAATATCTATATTTTATCGGCGGTGATGCCAACTACAACATAATCGTCGTTTTCTTAGCAATTTATCGAGCAGTTGACAACAACAGCTGATCAAGCAATAGGGAATATCGTCAAAATAAGTTCAGCGTTTATTAAAATCGTGAAAATTATCGCTGAGTTACTTTAACGGACAGAAAATCATTAAAATATAATAGCGAACTCCACACGGCCATGAATTTGAGGATCACAGTCGTATGCAAAGTGATTAAGTGCGGGCTGTCGAATGTGACTCTCACTAACTTAGGGGTTTTCTTTTGTCGGAGATTTTACGTCGGCGACTTTCACATGCTGTCCGAGCGGGTCGTACCAGCTGGCGAAGAGAGTAGCCGGAGTTTACCCACATTGCAATTATAATTTTCGTGTAGTAAAGAAGTGGAAATGATCAGAGAGGAAGCAGTTTGCCTTCGAGCAATTGATAACTTTTGTCCTGGCCAAACGCCAATAACGTGCAGTCATGTGCATATGGGATCAGGAAAGAGCCCTTGGTTCGCAACTTAGAAATTAGACAATAGCATGGAGAGGTCACAGAACGTACATTATTTGTCATCTTGTCTTTTGTCCAATCCTAATATCAATCAATTATGAACCCTTAAGGTTGCTGCTAAGCGAGGAACTCATCCTCCACATTCGATGTTATATAAGACTTCATGATAAATATGTATTTTGGGTTAAATCCTCACTCCAATATTGAATTAATTGTTATTATCCTACAAATCTCATAAGCAATTTTTCACTTGTTTCTAGGAGACGTATCCATCCTCACCGCCCGTTTGGTTTGCTGAGAGTGAAGAGACAAGCGTAACAAATGCCGTACAAATACTCAGCAATACGAATGGACGTGATAATCATGTTATAAATCAGGTGAGTGAACTTTGTAGCGAATTCACGCGGACCACCAGTAGCGCCTAGTTATACCTCATGGCCACAGCGGCAGCACAATCATCATCATCGCTTGCGACGAGCGCTCCAATATACATAGAAAAACAAACAAACAAACAACCATACGAACGAACGCATATACATACATACTTACTCTTAAGTGCATACAAATATGCGTTTCTAGCAAGAGCAGCTGTGCGGAGTAGTGACTATTAGTGGCAACGTAATAACACCAAAAAAAAAGAAAAAAAAATACAATTGCGTTGGTGTTTGTTTTTATATTTATTTCGTTTTTGGTTCGTTGATTTGTTTTATCAGTTTGGTGTACCCAACGCTTTGACGCTTTTGCGTTGTTGTTCCTTTTTGAGCTTTTTTTTTTACTACAATATAATGCAGCTATGCTTACTTGTTTACAAAATGTTTGTTGTTGTTTTTGATATTATAGGTTGGCATATTGTTACGTGAACTGTGCCGCCTGCACAATGTCCCACTGCCACCCGATATCGATAACCTCACCATACCGTTTCAATTGCCACCCCCAAGTGCGTCACCGCTGCATCAACAGCCGGCAGCGCAGCAGCAGATCGAGGACATCGATTCGGACCAAGATGAGGTAGAAGATCTCATATGCGAGAGTGAGCAGGAGAGTGAGGGCGATGAAGATCTGCCATTGGAAATGGACGACGGACGTAGTGCGAATAAAGTCGAGGTAAATATTTAAATTAGCATCCATTCTCTTTTGTGTGAGAGTCCATATATAATACATATATCTGTACTTTGAATAAAATGTATTTTTGCTTATCACAGAAGGATGAAATGGAAGTTGAACACCTGGCCACTTTAGAAAGACTGCGACAAAGTCAAAGACAAGACTATCTAAAGGTAAGTTGGTTTTTTCACAAAGCTAAATCTATCTTCTTATTTCTCTATGTTTCTTTATTCAATATTAAAACGACAATGCATGACAATGCATGTTTTCTCTACAATATTTTTGTATTGAAAAGTTCTAAATAAAATTTGAAAACAGGGCCTTGACCTCAGCGGGCTGGATTTTGTTATTATATTTTGCAACCCTTTAGCACTTGGGTGAACGTTTTCTGTAGGCTTCCTGTTGTAACACCTAAGATATTTACCAATTCGTGTTTTGACGAATGTAGCGTGAGCGACCCGCCCTCAGGACTGCGACAGGAAACCTCCTGATGTCGCCGGAGCATCACAAGCACAGGGAAGCATCTATGCTACGAGTTAAGGAGCATAATGCTTTGCTGTGCAAGCAGTTCCTACTGGGATGCTACCGCAGGGAGCACCCCAGTAGGCACTTAATAGAAGCTGAACCTCCACCTAGGCACATCAGGAAGGGAGCACTAGACTTCAAGGACACGATCCAGCAACACACACAACAACCGCTGGACAGGACGGCGTATCGACAAGCACTGAACGCCATTCACCAGGAGTCAGTTAACACCTTCATGAACTCCCTTCCAGTGAATGGCGTACTCGGAGAAATACCACCACCCAGACAACGAGCTCGAGCTGCCTCGAGAGACCCGCGTGACCCTGACACAACTTAGGTCTGGATATTGTAGCAGGTTAAACTCCTACCTATCCAGACTAGACCCCAGCATACCTAACGTATGCCCGGCATGTGAGAGTCCCCGCACGACACTAACCACCTCTTCACATGCCCCCTCAAACCTACTCATCTAACCCCCCTCTCCCTTTGGTCCAACCCCGTCGAAACAGCTCGTTTCCTGGGCCTACCTTTAGATGACCTCGACGACTTAGACTAATTTAAGCCTGTGCCTAAGCAAGGTTAGCGAACCGCTACAACAACAACAACAACAGTCCTTATCCAAAAATATTTTCTCAACCCCAATGCGCGCAAACTGTCCTGTTAATATTTGACTTGTCGAAAATCTTCGACACAGTCAATCACTGAGTGCAACTTTCGGACAATGAAACTCCCAGCCGATGTCCCTCCTTTCCCCAGTAGAAAAGACACTTGAGGCCTTACTGCTCAACCTGTCTTGCTAGCACTGGATTTGTCTAAAGCCTTTGACACCATCACCCATTCAGTGTTACTTACGACCATTGAGGAATCCTGATTACCACCGGGGTTGAAGTGGTGGATCATGATCTACCTGACTTTCGAGGCGAAACATCAAAACTAATTAAAATTAAACAAGGGGTTCAATTCTATATTTCGAAGCTTCCTCCTCCACCACAGGGAATTTCCTTGACCTTATATGCCGATGATTTTTTAATATTGGCGTCTGGCGAGGATACTAATAACGTACGATCGAAAGTAAGCGGCTATCTCGACGACCTTTTCCACTTCACTGCACGACAGACCATAAATAACCCAAAGATACTGGGAGTCACCTTAGACAGCCTGCACTCGTTCACTCCGCATACAACCGCAATTGGCGTAAAACTCCAGAGCCGCAACAAAGTACTCAAAGCGTTAGCCGCATCTCGGGTAAAGACAAAGAAAAATTTCTGGCAAGTCGTTAGCTCTGCTGCACCGATCTGGGCACCGGAGATGAACGAAACGCAGTTGAAGATAATGCAGGTTTGCCAGAACACCGCCCTTAGGACCGCGACAAGAAACCTCTTGATGTGTCGCGTGATCCTACTTATCCAAACTCGAACCAAACATACTCCTCTCCCTCTTGTACGAATCCGTCGAAACAGCTCGTTCTGGACCTCCTCAAGCGGGGCTATTGATCCGCTACAACAACAACATCAGCAGCAGGAATGAAATTCTTAACACTGCGAAGTCGGCTGTAGATGCCATCCAAAGGGAGTCTGTCAACTCGTTCAACTTCGTTCTAACAACAAACCCTCTTTGACAGGAAATTACCAGTCACACGCCAGTTCAGTTTACTATTTAAATGAAGTCAGAGATTAAGTTCATTCGTATTGGTCTACATCTTAAGAAAGTTGGAACACATTTTGTTAAAAATCTTTTTTCGCGAAGCTTTAATTTTTTGAGCTGTGTTAACAGCAAAAAATAATATTTTTCGTTATATATAATTCGAATATCTTCAAAATATTGCAGGGTTCAGTCTCCGGTTCCGTTCAAGCAACTGATCGTCTCATGAAAGAGCTACGTGACATTTACCGCTCCGATTCATTCAAAAGTAATATGTACTCGATAGAGTTGGTAAACGATTCGATTTACGAATGGAATATACGCCTGAAATCCGTAGATCCTGATAGTCCCTTACACAACGACTTGGCCATACTTAAAGAGAAGGAAGGCAAGGACAGTATTCTTTTGAATATTATTTTCAAAGAAACCTATCCGTTTGAGCCGCCATTTGTGCGAGTCGTACATCCAATTATATCAGGTCTGTGTAACATATTCAAAAAAAGAAAAGAAATAAACATTTCTATGTGAATATTAATATATATATTGTTTTTTCTAATTTTTACATCGTTCGACAGGTGGTTATGTACTTGTGGGCGGGGCCATATGCATGGAATTGCTGACCAAACAAGGGTGGAGTTCTGCTTATACTGTGGAAGCTGTAATCATGCAAATTGCTGCAACATTGGTTAAAGGCAAAGCCAGAATACAATTTGGTGTTACGAAGGTGAGTTGCATTTGAATATTTTTGAGTTTGCAAATAATAGTTTTCCTTCGTTTTTAAAATTCTTTCTTCTTTCCTACAATAGGCCTTATCACAGGGACAGTACAGCTTGGCGCGTGCACAGCAGAGCTTTAAGTCGCTGGTGCAGATACATGAGAAAAACGGTGAGTCAATGAAATAAAATGCATGTATTATAATTATGGCTTTGCTGTATTCTGTTGCAGTCAGAACTGCAATAGAACATTAATTTGATTATTGAAAAGCATAAACTGCAACCTCAATTAGGAGTTGTTTGAGTTGAATACATTTCAAAGTGTAAATACTGATCAATTGTATTTGAAATTTCAACGAACTTTAAAACAATCCATTTTTTCAGTGTTGCAAAATTATTAAAATTCGAAAATATTTCTTTTCTAATCTTATTTTGAAACAATAATGAAGATTTTTTATAAAAAAAATAATTTACAATTAACGTACGCAACTAAAAGTGTTGACCGTAAATTTTAAGCGAATTACTATGTCATTCATTGAGTCAGGTGCAAAATAATACAGCTCTTATTGTGGTAATTTTTGAATATTTGAATGTTTTGTCTACATATTATTTTTTGCAGGCTGGTTTACACCGCCAAAAGAAGATGGCTAAGCGGACAAGCAACAGAGTGCATCATATTTTTCTCTACCCTAGAATAGCCTATAGTTCGTCATACATATTAATAAACGTTTTTATCATTTCCTTGGTAAAAAAAAAGAAGCAAAATAAATAGATCTTATAAATATACTTAATTATAGTTGATATGACACCCAAACAAATCTATCCATGTACACATAAAAGGCACTAAGCGTATAAGAAAACTAGAAAATGTTAGTAATCAGATTAAGAGGTGGAAGTAAATAATCGTAAAAAAGTAAAAAACACTTGGCAGGAAAGCGAAAATATTACACACAGATACATAGTTTCGATGAAAACTCTTTGTAAACAAATATTGTTGTAATGGAAGCGTATGATACCCACTAAGTTATTTGACGTAAATGAATCTGAAATACATCACTTGTAAATGAACTAAATGTTTTTTACAAACAAAAAACATTTATTTATCATCTGTGAATAGACGTTAGAATAAATATTATATATATATGTATATATATATATATATACAAATATGTATGTATGTACATATGTAAAAGCATGTTTCAAAAGCAAAATCTTCAATGTTTCAGTTTTTTTTTTATGTAAAAGTAAAAATTTTTTCAATTTAAATTCAACATTTCTAACTACAGTTGAATGGCTTAATGGCCTGTTTTTGTTATTTAATACATTTAATTTGTTTGTTGCATCAGCTAAAATGAATATAGAAACACAATATATAATTTTTTGTATAAATAAAAAATGAAATATTACTATTCATTTATTCCTATGTGTATATATGCATGTTTGTGGATACATATATTTAGTTGCACTTTTACACAGCCACAAATAAAAATCAGTCTTTTGTTTGTTTATGTTTCGTTTACTAATTTTCCTGTACTAAAAAAAAATTAAAAGAAAAGTATGTATATTGTAGTGCCGTACATGCATATGTATGTGAAATTATTTATTTATAAAAATGTAAAAATATTAAAAAAAAAAAAATTGAATAAACATAAGTGTATGAAATAGATTTACAATAAAAACTAAAACCGCCAAACTTGTATTGTGCTTAAGTTCCATCTGTAGCTGATTTGCAACATATAAACACATTAATACATCCTAACTTTCGTTTTTTGCCGTTGAAATTACATTAAACAAAAAGTAAGCAAAAACATTCAAATTCCTTATTCATTCAAACTATGCAATTCATTTTTATTATGCACAATAAATGCGATCTGTATTGTATTTTATTGTCTTTGAAACAAGAAGCAGAGTTTTGATTTGTCAGAGCATTAAAGTTGAATAACTACATACAATAAATGCAATACAGTGAAAGAGTGAAAGAGTTAAATAAGTAAATATTTAATATAATAAAGTGATTTAGTTTGCGCCAATACGAAATGTAAAAATTATTAAATAAAAAAGAAACGATTATTGTTTAGGCTTGTACGCGCACTTACGCTGTGTACGTGATCATTGGCAAATGGACGACAAATGAACCACTTGCGTGCGTACATCCACAATAAATGTTGTTAAAATCATATATATAGTAATATTAAGATTGATAAAATATGTATTTATAAATTTCATACTTGAAATGACTAACGAAAACTCTCTTCAGTTCAGGTTAAAATGTTTATATAATTATAGCAATTGAGTAAAATTTAATACAAAAAAAGAATAAACGAATAACAGCCGTAAAATAAAATGTAGTTACTTGCATATGTTGTGTTCATATAATATATGCACATGTTAATTACATATATGAGTATGTGTAGATGTGTGTTATGTTATATACACAAAATATACATAAAAACATACTTACATATAGTATATATTTTATTTCAAAATATCTAAGTGAATATAAATATACATATATATATAGTACATAAATACATTGCAAACATACATATGCCTACATACATACATATATGAGTAACAATTATAGCAGCATTATAATTACAACTACGATTATAGATACAATATTTAAAAAGAAAAAAAAAATCATAAATCTATTTTACAGTACATAGTATGTATATGGTATATGTATCATTTCATTAATTATTAAATAACTATGTAAATGCGACAACATTACTTAAGTTGAAGTACATGAACGTGAATAAATCGGAATATCCAAATTTCAAATACTATTTGTACTCGTGCATTACCTTTCAATTTTATTATTCGACCATGGGCGACTTTTAGCTAATTTAACATGGCATTCATCATGGTAAAATCTCAAAGCTCAATGATCAAGTGAAATTTCCAAGCAATAATTACATCGGGGTTTGCTTTTCATGATTTCCCAATTAGGACTATCAACAGAAAAACATTCTTAAGCGGCATACATACATATTACATATATATACATAATTCTACATATTGAATGTGTACTGCCATACGGAAGTTCATGGGTTCGAGTTTAAATTTAAATTAAATTGAAAGTAAAACAAGATGGATACCATAAACTGGAAGTTTATCTCAGCGGTTAGAGGGCGCCAGTTTCATATATATGTATGTACATATACATTCAGATAGAAGGACAGCAGGAAAAAGCATAGCAAGTGACTAGCGTGCGTCGAGGTCTACCAAACAGAGATCCATGAAACGATCGGGTTAGATAAGGTGGTTCATTTTTGCCCGCTTGGTGTTTACAATTACGCTATACAAGAACAAAAAAAAGAATGACACAATTTCGTAGACTTGGCAAATGTATGTATATCTTCAACATTCTCTTTCAAATCATTTAAATGTTTATATTTTTACATTAGTTAGGTAAAGCTGTTTATTAAATTTAAATTACATTATTTACAACTACAAATTTTTTTAAATAAATTTATATCTCGTAGTAACCGAGTTATTATTTTATATATTAGTAGAAAAACTCTACCATCCTTGCCTTCGTATGTTATACTGTTAAAATCGAAGATTCTTTAGCCTGAGCAGATTGTTTTAGTTGATCCGTATCATCCTTCACAAATCGTATCAACTCATCTTTGTCTTCCGCTCCCGCCGCGACTGTTTCTAGTAATTCTAAACAACCTTGTAGTGCTAGTAAATCGTACGTCAGCTTGACTTCACGTCGCAGCACACCGGCCAATCTTATAAAATCCTTTCCCAACTCGCCCGTAAATTCATGAAATGTTGCTGCATATACGTCCAATAAAGTCGTTGCAACATCAATCATTACACGCGTGAATCGGTGTTCACCAATAAAACGACATATAAACGATATTAATCGTGAAAGAAATTCATGACTGCGTCCAGACAGTGAGCGATGTAAGCCTTTACGATGTATAAGCTCCTGCATTACAGTAATTGTCACTTCAGGACTGCTACGTATGAAGTGGGGTGTCATTACAATATCCAAACATTTTACATATTCATATTTACGTAGCAAATTATCATATTTAGCTAGTTTCGGCGCAGTGTTAACTCGTATTTTGTGATCTACTTCAACTGAAGTCGTATGCCGTTGGTTTCTGTGTTCCCCTATTGGCTTCTCTTTCTTATTGCGATCTATTTCCATGTTTTGTATCGAGATCAGACCGTCAACCATGCCCGCCACAACAGTTTGATCACCTGGGGCGACACCAAGACTCAGAACTGCATTAGGGAAATCCAATGTATGTACTGTTTGATACGTTGCAACATCGTAAATCTTTACATGACGATCTAAACTACCAGATAGTAGTCGCTTGCCATTGGAACCAAGTCGCAATGAAGTAATTGTTTTGTGATGTTGAGATATTTTTGTTAGGAGGCGACAGCCTGCAAAAGCATCCCAAACACGCATTTCTGTACCACCGGCGCTGATAAAAATTCCACCTGTAGGCAGGAAGAGCAATGATTCAACGGGACTGCCATGGTCAATACTATATGAAACCTGCTGAGTACGCGTATCGTACATTTTTATTTTACCGTCATAACCACCCGATAATATCGTATCTGGTGACATGGGATTTATAGCCCCAGCACGTATGTAATCTTCATGTTCTTCAAATGACAGCGCCGCTTTTTCAGTGGCAATATCCCATAACTTCACGCTACGATCATCTGAAAAACTAGCTATTCGTAGTAAATCCTGTGTAAATTGTGCACGATGTACAGGCCCCTTGTGTCCCTTGAACAGACGTAGTACATTTTTGCTGGATGGGTCAAAAAGTTTGACGAAACCTTGTTCATCCCCAGCTACTAGCAATCGACCATCTTGCCGAAATGTACCACCGTAGGCTGTTTCTTGAAATCGTGATAAGTTTTTTACCACTAATTTTGTAATGGGATTGTAAATTTGAACGCGTACGGAGCATGTAACAGCAAAATAATGTGGTTCTATGGGATTAAAGTCGACATAGTCGATTGCTCCAAACTCTTTTACCAGCGTTGGGACCTGTGAAAGCAATAGGCACATTAGATTTACTTGGTTTATAATGAATGAAAATGTGGACTTACACTCAATTGTTTCCAGTACACAGTATCTCGTGTTACGATCTTCCCGGTCTTTAAATATTTTTTAGTATTCAAACTTTTAAAATTTGACATTATTTTTTAGGAATCTTTTTTAATAAATTTTACAATATTTAGAAAAGTTTAATTTGTTTGTAAATCACTTGAAAGATCAAATGCCTAAACACAAATATTTTGAATTTCATTTATGCACGTGTTGTCAAATTTCTAAGAGTGGTGCCACTGAGCGTACATAAAATCGCGAAGCTTAAAAAATTTCATTATATTTATGTGATTTTTATCATTTCAAGTAGTTTTCGTACATAATTATAATAAATATTTTTCTTTATTGACTATAAACGCGTTATTTATTTTATGTTTTTATTTTTTATATACTAACACCTTATTTGTAAGTAAAAGCTTACCAGCACCCTAATTGAACAATTGTGAATGATCAATGCGTTTATTATGACATTTTTTCGTTTCTTAAACAAATTGGTGTAGCTTTGTTTAAGCACGTCATCTTTAAGATAATTTCATTTATTTACCTGTTAATAACATAAATTCTTTTAGTTATTAAAGGTATATTAAATAAAAATGGTATGTACTATTGTGGAGTTACTATATAATAAATTTCTTGGGAAACTTATGGCGTATTTCCTTGATACAGAGTGCTTTATTCAACTTCCAAAGTTTGCTATCAGTGATTCTTCTATTGATCTGCACCTGTGCCTATTTACGATCCCTATTTCCTAGCATCATGGACCGCAATAAAACTGGGTGAGTTTGATAGTAAGTGCTATAAGAAATTACAAGCTTCGTGATATATGTTCCCTTAATCGTTTTAGTTTACTTGGGGTCTTTTGGAAACTAGCGCGGATAGGAGAAAGAAAGTCGCCTTACGTGGCTGCGGCATGTGTTGTAATGGCTCTATCAATTTTGTTTTGGACGTGATACTAAAAGATTATTCGTAGATTTGCTCTATTTCTGGTTAGTAATAAAGTTTAATTTTTGTAATTATGTGGAAACGAACTATTTCTCTTTGGAAGCAATAAGTATTGAAAACAGAAAGATGTTTCTAGTACTAACAAAAATTTTTTTTTTTTGGTGTACTACGTACTAGGTTGAATTGTCATAAACATTGCGAACTGTATTCTTTTACCCAAAGGTAGTGAGTATAACAAAGCATGTAATGGAGACAAGGTGTAATTTGGATATAATAGCAAATTGTATTTATTATCTTGATATTCTATATGATCGTAAGAAGATATGCTGCTGTTGTTGTCGTTGTTGTAACCGCAATCCCGTCCTCCAAAGTAGTTTTTGGGGAATGTTGCGGTAGTGGCAGCCCTTGGCCGAATATTGCGGAAACTATTGGTTTTTATTCGCCACTTACGAATTTTAAGTAAAAAAAAACTTACCAAATGATGAATGGGCCAAGTTAATAACTGTCATGTTCTGACTTTTGTCATAAATATTTTTCAGAACTGAATTTTCGCGGTTTTCGGACCATTTATGAAAAGCACAAAAAGTTTCATTGCTTTTCTAAAATCTTTTTGTATACATATTTGCAGCCGGTCATCGGTTCCCGCCGGGTTTGACTGTGGGCCAGAGCTTGGGTGCGTCAGAATAGAGATTAAAAGAAGTTCCTCCCACTTGTGAATGTCAACTTAACGCTTATCCTCCATACTGAGATCCCCGATGTGGGGACTTAAAGGGATCGGGGAGACTGACTGACTCGTGTTAGAAGAATTTGATCTCTAAATATGCTTGACAGAAATAGCTTTGCGATGATTGCATTTGCAACTCTGTGCTTAAATGCAAAAAGAAGTTCGATTTAGTAACTTCATCGATACGATTTGTCGGAGAGCAATCTGCAAATTTTTTCGCTCGCTCTAACGATTATTCGAGTCATTAACTCATTTGGAAAATGGACATTTCTCTTTTACTAAAATGGAAGAAAGTTTAACACAACGTCATAATATGCGAAAAGCACAAGGAAGAACGATAAAATCAAAACAAATTCGGGATGGCTTATAAAGTTTACAGAATCCAAAACCTGCTTTGGTGTCCGCTTTCACTATAAGGAGCACTATTAGAAGCTTCTAATAAAAAAATTAAATATTAAATTCTAAATAAAAAATTAACTTTAATAAAATATCAATATTTTGCCGATGGCAGCCACAACCTAATCTTTGTGTAGTTAGTAATTTGCCGAGTAGTTGCCGACAACAGCTGACCAAGCGATTGGGAATATAAAAATAATTACAGCGAATATTAAAATCGTTAAATTATCGTTAAATATATTTATTTTAACGGATCCAAAAAATGCTATAAATCAAGAGAAATCCCACCACAGGTTTCCAGTCAAACTGTGGGTCCGTTAGAAACTAATTGACGTGCCAAGGTGAATTTTTATGTTCTTCCTTTCTTTTCAGCAGTCAATTTTGACATTTCGGACACAAAGTTAGCACGATTACACAATCAAAATACTTTGGGCGACTGTCGTCTTTGACATTTGGACATGGGTTATACTTGTTTTTGTATTCTTACTACAATCGTGTGTGAATTCCACTTGTGCCGTGCGAGAGTTTTTTTTGGTCACATCTCTGGTTAAATAAAAGCTATTCACAATAGCCGGTTTTGAAGTAGCGAGCCATTCATCTGCGAATGTATAGTATCAGTCGTCTCTTTTGCGTCAGGATGCAATTACTAAAAGCGGCAAATGGAGCTCATAACTGTTTCACTATTATTTCATTTTCAAATCCTTAAAATGTGGTTGATAAAGTTCATGCAACAGTTAATTGTGAAGAAATATACAAATTATTGAACATTATTTCTTTACTTAATGTTAAATGGAGTCTTTAGAATGAGCATTAATTAGTTAAGCAACGTTCAGATTCCGAAAAGCTGCCGAGTGCTAAATGCATCAAAATCAACGAACGGGCGTGTTTATGTGTTGTCTTGCTTATGCACATTCTTATGTATTCCCTTGACGGGTCGTTGAGCCGATGAACGCTTTTTGACAGCACTGCTATAGTATAGAAAAGTTTCGTATTTCGTGTTGGTGGTCAACAAATTTTCACAATGGAAAAAACATTAAAACCACATAAAATTAATAAGTGAAGACCAACTAAAATGGTGGAAAAGTGTTATTGATTTACATATTGTCATAAGACATTGAAAGAAATCGATTTTGACGTAAATTAAAGAGTAAATATAATATTTTCAAACGTTGATAGCGAAAGTCGTGTCCATAGTGAGTTTTCATTTGATTGCTTTTTGTAAATGAAGCGCTGAAGACTCCTTAGTACGCGCTGTCGCAGTTCATGTTGGCATCTGTATTGTGTTTGATTTGTGCACTTAATCTTAATGGTGCCAAACATATTTGGTTGTAAGAAAAATGTTAAAAATATGATTAAAAAAATTGATTACAGTGAAGAAAGTTAATTTTACATACATAGCGATTAGTTGACTAAATGAGGATTATATTTATTCACATGAAAAAATAATAGTGCAACAAAAAGTGAATATAAGCAATCTACTGTGAATAAGAACTGTGTGTATAAATGCTAAGTGAATACAAATTCATTTGTTCACAATAAAGATTTCGTCTTTGAAATATTGATATGCTCGTTATATGCTGATACGGTAAGTGCGATTAATTTATGCAATTTACATATGCTTGGTAAAAAACTAAATTACAATATCAAGTGAAACATAAAAGTGTATCTATAAATTAAATAATTTATAAACATGATGTTTTCTCTAAGCCTGTTTGTATATACTTATTGTATTATATAAAAAATATTGTGTCCAAAATGATATAAAGTAAAAAATAACTGAACTTTGAAAATTTTCAGGCCTACATTGTATATCATACCTTTAGGATATTACTTTGCAAACTCGTAAATACGTAAGAGTTACGCCAAATATACGGGCGGAGGGTTTATTATAAACTATAGCAAGGTGTACTCTTGCATATTCAATGTGACGACAAATTTTATTTTTCTTCGAGCTTTAAATGCATTGTTTTTTCAGTGAAGTTACAAATGCATCACTGTCCTTTTTGACCTGACCATTTGATTATCCATTCACAATTCTCACAGACATTTTCCTTTACTTGTCTCTTTTACGCAGAAATTTGAAAGCAATACAGTGTGAAAGAGATAAAATTCGTTTTTTTTTTTTTATTAATTTGCTCTTCGCCATTTCCCCCTGGTATTAGGAATAAATTTTCGTCTTGTGTCGTAGAACAGTTTTTTCTTTGAGTCTTAATAATTTTTAAATTTCATTGAGTTAAAGCTGTGAAAATAATTAGATCTCTATAAAACTGAGTGGCCTGGAAAAGGTGCTGTACTGGTGTGGATATATATAAAGGTGAGGCTCTGCTAAATTCGTTATATTTTCAATGTTGAAAAAGAGAAAAATTTCCTCTTTCTACTTGATTTTTGTTTCTTTTGATTTTATGATTTTCTTGTTGTTTTGTCATGCCATTCAGTGTCGGTAATGCAGTTATTTAACGTGCCTTATACCCTTTCCTGCCATTTGCCGCTTGGTCAACATTTGCTTTTGTACACGTTTCTCTTGTAATTACATGTTTTCTGCAGTTAACAGCAAGGGTTGTGGGTATAGTTTTCTGTGTCGGTTATCCATAGACCGGAACAGCAGTATCAACAAAAATGATAGGCATTTGGTTTTGCTCGAGGTGTGTACTCTACTTTCAAAAATACTAGAAATACTGACGAACGTAAAAGTACGTTCTGCATCAACTTTTAGCCAAAGTGAAGTATAGAAATTTTTGTTTTGTCGATAATACAGTGCGTTCCATTCAGATAAAAAAAGAGACAAAAATAATGTCACAAAGAAACGATCGCATACAATATATATACATATATGTATGAGTTCAAAATACTTAGGACTCCACACTGCAGTTCGTTACTGACCAGGTTCGAGCCTTAAAATAATTCGACTACAGCATAGAATATATTTTTTCTTAATAAGTATTGGTTTTAATATATTTACTGTCATATACCTACAACGTATTTTCTCCATATTATGGCCATTATCAAATGTTAACGATTTTGGTGTCAGAAGTGCCTAAAAATGATTCAATCTGAAATTTGGATTAAATGCTATTTAGAACGAGCTACGACACAATAAATAATATTTTTTTACCAAATAAAGAGAGTTTTATTTTCACGTCGATAAATTAACATATTTTTGTTTTAATAAATTTTGGTAATGATTGCGATTACCTGAATCTTTTGTGTTCACTTGACTATTGTCTCACTCATTTCATTTATATGTTTAGATAAGGACTCTTATGTATGTATATATGTATAAGTGTACTAGATCTCAAGATTTTGTTCTAACGGTTTTGAACAACTCTAACATTTGAGCAACGAGTATTCGCAAAAGCTTGAAAACATCAAGCTGGAGCAATTCTATTTATTAAGCACTCATTCCGAGCAAATTTTTTTTAGTGTTCAGATATAGATTAAGCGTTTATGGTGCACATAATCAACTACTAATTGCTTAAATTTAGTAAAATGGATCGGTTACAGATAATGTAATACCTGTGTCGTCGCTTTGCTCGGTCCACCTTAAATATCGCTACTGTAAGTGAAAGTGTAGCCGAAGACCCGGTTGTGTCTTATTTCGCAACGTTCCCAGCTGGCACATTATGGTGTAATTTGAACTTGGATTGACACTTACATACATCAACATAAAGTTTAGCTCATACAGAAGCCATTTTACACCGTTGGATGCAGATAAACTTTTCACTCTTGAGCACTTGAAAACCCACATTCGTTAAGTTAGGGCCAAAAAAAAATGGTTGAACAAAAATTCACTGACGACATTCGATCCAAAATGGGCCAAAATGAACTCACCCTGCCTTGCTTACTTGACTTTTCAAAGCGTATGACGTGGTCAACCCTGAGTTAGAATAATTTCAACTTTGTAATAAAAAAAAGAATTTCATAACAAAAGGATTTTAAATGCTTTTATTTATCTTTATTTTCGAAATAGTAAAAAGGATAAAATGAGTGCCTGCGTGCATGCATAAGTCACATAAAAAATTGTATCTTTTTTTCATCATTTCGCGCTATCCTGTTTTTCAATCTAAGATTGTTTGTATAAATAGGTATTACATTTTGATTTTAATACACAAGTCTGTTTAATTGAACTTGACCCATATGCTGTATAGAATATATGTATATTTGAAATTGAAATGGAATATATGTATGTACATACTATGTTGGTAAATTGTGTAGCTCAGCCAACAACGGTGATATGTCTGTAATCAGTACTGTTATTTCTTCTCAGTTGTCGACAATTTATTTTAATGACATTAAATTTAAGTAGGTTTTATTAGAAAAGAAAAATTTAAGTATTGATCTAAAACTTAAAATTTAGTTTTTGTTTATTGTTTGATAGAACCAATCAAAGTAAGCCTTAGGTAAGGTTTGATAATAAGTACATATGTACGTGTATGTAGGTGTAAATTTTAGTAATGCAAATACATAAATATTGAAACGGGATTGTCTAATTAGTATTATGGATGTACATTTGTGTGTACTTCCGCATCTAAACAAATATCAGCAAGATATTTTAATAGTTATTTTTTTGTTTTTCCTCATGAATAAACAATTCATTAACAAGGCTTCTGAAATTAATCAATTTTATTTATGTGCTTTCCTTGTGTAGATGCAAATTATTACAGCACACTTCATAGTTACATAATAGTTTTACATACATATATACATAGATATGTGAGAGCATATTTCGTGTAAAAATTCCTCGAAAACAAGACTATATACAGACGAATTAGCAATTTATTAGCAATAAAACCCAATTTTAACGGTAAAGTACCAAATTCAGTTACTTTTTGAATTTAAATACCAAACAAATTCCAAACAGTTGACAATTTCAAAGTATACGAAAATAAAGAACGCCCAGATGGCTTATTTTCAACTGGAAAATTTGATCATATTTAATCATAATAATTATAATAAACCTGAACCATTGGTTCGATTTTACTTACTGTTTCACTTTGCAGCTTCAATTTTTAATTTAGTGGAAATTTGAACTTTGACTAAAATTTCCCAACAGGCTTATGACGTTTAACGAAGGTTTTTTTTTTAGTGTAGCATTTTCTTTTATACTTTGCAACACTATTAGTCATTTCAGCTTCAAACAATTTTAACTCAACTCGTTAAATAACCCAATTTGTTCATTTGTGTTATTGTTTTCCATTCATTTTATTCGATAATCTATCTAATATACTTTTTTAGGTCAGGTGCAGTAGAAATCGCCTAAAATAAGAATTTGCTTGAACATTTTAGTCCAATTCTGCTATTTGGAAATTTGCCCAGTCGTTAACCAAAGACCGTTCTTTGAAGTTTTCTTTGGAGCACTCCTTTCGATTGACGAAAGTAAATTGAGAAGATGGCTTTTGCTTCTGCTTCTACATATGTACATACTAGTATTCGTGCAGAGTAATGAGTGTTGCGTTGACACTTAAAAAGTTGTTTTCTTTTTTCGAGATGCCGCTTAAAAATAAATATTACTCATATGGTATACTATATTATGTATATATGTAGTATACTACACGTGCAGCTAGACTTTCCTGCGACACGTGTGATACATGACAATTTGTAATTTCTTTCATACTCTTGAACTAGAATAAAAATGTATACATACATACATACATATATACATTGTATGTAAGCAGACGATAGCATTTTTGTATACATTTTGAGTATGTGTAGTAAAACATCTACAATATCACTTAGATTATTTCTACCTGGCTGCTATTTGGCATTAGTTAAGGCTAAATCATATTCGCGTGCAACTGTTATAACAACAAAACAGAAACAAAAAAAAAATTATGTATATGTGCATATAAACATACCTCGGCACATAGATTCATACATGTCCGTCTAGGTGCTGCATTCAAGTTTATATGTATGTACATATGTATTGGGTTGCCTCAAAAGAAACCGGCGATTTCATAAGCTGTCTTTTTTAGCTTGCTTTAGAAAAATGTACGAGTAATTTTCTTTATATATTTTTTTTTAATTTATTATACGGATTCCGCAGTTTAGCTTTATTTTACTTGATTATTTCCTTAAAGGCAAAAATACTGCGCAGGTTGCTAAAAAGTTGAATAATTTATATGGTGATAAGGCCTTAAAATAAACACAGTGTCGAAGTTGGTTTGTCGAATTCCATTCGGGAGACTTTTCGCTCAAATATGGGCGAATATGCAAATAAGTTACCTTTCGGTGAAATGACTAAAATATAAAGCAAATTAAAAAAATAAAACAAAAATAATTAGCACAAAATATTTGAAATAAAGCATTACAAATCTTAGCGATGTGCAGTTTGCTTTGGATTGCGCATCAATAATTTTACCTATACATTTTGGGACATGATGAGCATGAACTCCTCACCCTATATGCCGAGTTCATGACGGCCAAATGAAGTTGATGATGCCGATATCATGAAACGAATAAACGAAACGGAGTCAAGTAACTGGGCGTGAGATTGGAGAGAAGTTAAGTACATCAAAATCTATCGTTAATAATCATATACCAGGTCTTAGAATGGTAAAAAAAGATTTGGGAACCACATGAATTGAAAGAAATTCATATTGATATGTAATGAATATCACAAACCACTTCAAAGGCCGATATTCATCAAAGGAATATGATGCTGACAGTTTGATGGGATTGGAATATTTGGAGCTGCTTCCAAGAAACCAAACGATCAATTCGGATATCTACTGTGAACAACTGGACAAATTGAATACATCCATCAACGAGAGGCGGCTAGAATTGGTCAATTGTAAAGGTGTCATATGCCACCAGGTCAATGCTAGACCGTATACATCTTTGGTCACTCGCCAAAAACTTAGAGAGCTTGGCTGGGAACTGTTGATGCTTTCACCATATAGCCCTGACCTTACACGGTCAGACTATCATTTATTTCGATCATTGCAGAACTCATTAAATGGTAAAACTTTCGAAAATGACGAGGCTATAAAATTGCACTTGGTTCAATTTTTTGCAGATAAAAGCCCATGAGCATGGAGCGATGGAGCGATGATGTTGCTGGAAAGATAGCAAAATACCCGTCTCTTTTTGGGCAACCCAATATATAATATTTTTAAATTATTATTTATTTCATTAAAAGAGCGTTTGGTCAGTCAACTACGGAATAACAACCTAGAGAGCATACCGAGTAAGAGCGAGAGCGAGTAAGCAACAAGTGGAATTTCGCATTTCCTAATATAAACAAACGCATATATGTATTTACATATATATATATATATATGTAAGAATTTATATACATATATAAATATAGAATGTGTATTCATATTGCTTCATAACTATAAAATACAATATTGGTATCTAGTATAAACGCAAATTCTCCCAGTGTACTCATGTACATATGTATGCACAGTTGAACATAACTACATAGCTGTTGTTGTCAATCAGCTGTATTTGACTGTCTGTGACCCAGTACTCGTCATTTCGGATGTTATAACACTTGTTCATCGCTGTTCGCTCTCTACTCACCTGCTGCTGTCCGGCGATTCAAAAAAGCTAAATAGCTAAGAGGCTTCCTGTTCATTCTTTGCAGGGCTTCTACACACACACGGCGTCAGCGGTTTCAAAAATAATATTTCGTAAATGTGCAAATTTATTTCACATTCTCTGAGTTTTGATTGGTAATTTCGAGATGCGCAGTATTTATCTTTCATTACAAACAGTAACTTTTACTGAAAATGGAACGCAATTTCGTGTTCGATCCGTATTGATTAAAGTAAAATCGATTTTTATAAATGTAGTAAATAAATTTACAATAGATACGTTTTATGTATAATTGGTATATAAAATGTTTTTGCAAAGTAAAGAAAATGTGACACAATGAAAATAGGGTTTCAGCCGAGTACGAATTTTATTTATTGTATGTACATTAACATGCATATGTACATATGTATGTCTTAAAACTATTAACAATATGAATATGCGTACATACACATGTATGTATAAATATTGTTAAACTCAAAGTAAGCAATTAAACGACTTTCTAAATAATAATAAATATTAAATAAAATTATAGTTTTCCTAAACTTATTTCAGTTACGACCGAAATTTTGAAAACAAAAATAGCGTGACTTTGCCATTAGAATTAAAATCTTTAAATGGATGGGTTTATTATGAACTCCAATGAAATTCAGTTTAAAGTTGGCGAAAAGCGATTTTTCTCACATTTTCGAAACTCATTGGAACAATATATTGTCCAAAAGTCCTAGTTTCGAAGGCTTGCACATTTCCTTAACTGAAAATCTAAAATTTCACGAAGGAAAAACTTGGACTACATCCGAATATCAATAATATAATATATAAGTGTGGGATACGGGCCTGTGCCAATCGCTTTGGTGACGTCTCTGAAGCAATCTACAGAGAGAAGACTAACTGTAAAATTCTAATTCAATATTATAAGGCGAATATACCAGTTGGTAGTAGTGTTTAGGTAGAATGAAGCTTAGAGATAAAAGTACCAGTCGCTAACATGAGAAAAAAATTCGTTCTTATTATATTCATCTAAACATATTGAACTGCCCGAGCACTGAGAGTTTACTCGAGTATTTAAAAAAATGTTTTGATTTTTTGGAATTTTTTTCTCCGAATAAATATCTTTGCTAATGAGCCTTCTTATGGGTAGGCACGCAGAGATGCTAAGCGTACAATCAAATGAAATATGCAGGAGTTGTAAAGAATTTTGTAAGAATGTCCCACACCTTGGAGGAGTAGGTTGAAAGCTCAGATGATGTAAAGTGAGTGATTTAAACTGAATCTGTTATTCAATTCATATATTACAAATTAACATAAAAGTTAAGAAATTATTAATTATATTTATTATAATAATTAACAAACTTAAGAGGGTGGATTAGTATTGGAATTATTTCTAGGCTCTACTTTTTATATAAAAGAAATATTGTTCTGAAAAGGGAAACTAATTTTTGTTGATTTAATTGAATTAAATTTATATTTTTTTAATAATCATCAATATTTCTATGAATTTTTATTTTTATTTCTCATTTTGATAATAAATATATGTATGTACGAAAACTCTTATCTCATAATTGAGTTGTATTTAATTAATTGACTAATCAAAAATTTTTAATCGCTAAATAATTAATTATTCCGTTCTGTTGTTTCAAACATTTATAAATAATAACCTGTTGAGTGTGTCAACACAAGAATGTCTACTGTGCACGAATGGCTTTGTGCATTTTGTCAGCATACCTGGCCGCGCTGCGCTCTTTGTGCTCAGGAAACTGTGGTAGATTTTTTTTATTCAAAAAAAAAAAAAAAAACACATATTTCTATTTACTACTCCTAACATATTGTTAAACTGCTGGTGTGCGTGCAGGCCTTTTTAGCTGTAGTGACCACCCCGTCGGTGGTTCATTAGCACACTTCCAACGGTGGGAATCGATAACTCTCTGTGCAGCACTTTGTTTGCTCCCACTGTGATTACAAACACATTTGTAGTTCGAGTGATGGTGCTTTGAATTACATATATATATATAAATATACATATTCATATGTATATGAATATTATACTCTGTATTTTGTTTTTGTTGTTATCTCGCGTCTATTGCTATCGTTAGCATTATTATCGTTCGCTTTGGTGACACCACCACTATGTATCAATATTTTGCTCAACTACACTTGCTGGCTGTGCAAAGTTGCGTTGCTCGCTCATTCTTGTCTTGAACGTCAAGGCGAGCGCACACAGTAGCTAAACTTTTACCTAGTTCGAGCAGTGCGTACGAGTATCGGTAATTGAGGTGGACTAATTGGCACTAACTACTGGCGTAATACCGGTGGCAGTCCACCATTAGCCACTTTTAACTTGTATTAACAAGCTAAAAAGCCTCAAAAGGCAACGATAACAACAGCGTGGTCACCCCATTTTAGCAAACTCGATTGTGTAGCCGAAAGTTGAGTGACCAACAACCAGCATTAAGTGCTGATTTCAACTCTTTTTTTTTTTTTTTGCGTATCTCACCGCAGTATTGTGTGGTGTGGCGTAAAATTTACAAAATTTGCAAAAATACATTTACCGCATGTGCCGTTATTTGATTTACGGACGAGTACAAAGCAGGAGAAGATTTTTGTGAGATTTCTAATTTTTCTCTTACTGTTGTCGTGGACGTGCTGAGGTGCGCTGCTGGCTGTCAGTGGTGCTGACAAAGTGGCTTTATTCGCCGGATTTAAACGGCTGTGATGTTGTGGTAAAAATAACGTTAAAGTGAAAAATGTATATGTATGTTTTTTAAACGCCATGAAGAAGGAAAGGAAAGAAAACGAAAGTGATGTTTGATGGACAAAATTTACGATTGAACTTCTAAAAAAAGCGCAAAATGTTATGAAGCAAGATTACTGCTAGTGTGTTTTTAATTTTTTATTTTCTCTTTTATAAATAGACAACATTACAAACCGGTTTTGTTATGCTATAATCAGCGGGGAGAACTGATGTTTTACTGTTCCCCCGGAAAGCGCGTGTCTTAACGCAAATTAACGCAAAATTAAAATTTTTTTAGTTTCCGATTTCGAGGAGGCGCTGAAAAATTTGCACAGCCCAAAATGTCATTTGCATTTTGGTTAGTGTTTTGCGTGTTTTCCTTTCGTATTTATACTCAAAAAAAATTTATATTTTGTGCTTGCTTCAGTTTTTTTGTTGCTATTTTTGGCGTTGTTAAAAAGAGTGGGAAATCTTAAAAATGTTTATACAGAGATAAATTAAACAAATTTTGAGTGCTTTATTTGTATACTTTCGGTGTGTATGTATGTTTGTATATTCTCCATTTGTATAACTTTTTTACAACAATTATTTATACAGTATTTAATCTTTTGTGAATTTATTCACCACAAAATCGGGCGCAAATTTTTAATATAATTTTTTCAACTTGACATTCATTGTCTATTTTTGGCCAGTTTTTCGTCTATATTTCAACTTTTCGCTACATGCATACTTTGGCTTCACTTCAGTTTGGCTTAACAGCTTGTTAGCATTGTATCGGTTATTGTTTCTGCTGTTGAATCCTTATCCATTTATCGTAAAGAAAAAGTGAAAAGAACTAAAGATAATAAAACAAAGAACATAGCAAGAAAAATTAACTTTGAACTCTTCTTCATTTCCGTTGCCAGATTTAAATTGTTTCTGTGTTGCAGCAATTTTTTTTCTCAAAAGTGCGTTTCAGTACCGAAATATTAAAAATTTATATTAAGCGTTGTTGTTTCAAAAACTCAAAAAAATTTCCACCAACACATACATAAATGTTATAAATGTTATCACCATAAGCTTCACGCCTAAACGCAACCCTCATAATTCACAAGTTTGGTGCGATATGTGATAGACGTCACGGGGACTATTATGGAACATTTAACAAACAAACAAAAAAAAAAAATATAAAAAAAATTACAAAATACATACAGGTCGATAAGACTCATTAAACATACATACATACATACACATATATACACTTTATGCATGCATATTTTTGTACATACTTTGTACATTATTCTACGCAATGGACAATTTCTCGTTATTTGGCGTATTTTCTCTGCTGTTTCACGTTAGAGCTTTTGGCATATTTAAGTATGTTGACGTTTTGCTATGCGAAGCTGATCACGCTTGGTATCCGTGTTTTTTGCGCCAGGTTTGGTGGGTCTTGTTAAACCGCAATCGAGCGTCGCATATGATAAATATGTACATATGTACATATGTAACTCATAGATTTCACACTTGTGACTGATCAAATTTCACTTAGATACACTTGATTTTATTTGGTCTTCGCAGCCGTCAAACCCCAACCGGTTTGATTAAATAGAAATTATGATTTGGAGTTGCGCAGTTTTTTTGGCAATTCAATAAAATTTTATATTCTGTTTACTTCAGCGCCTGAAATATCGAGTATTTTTTAGTAGTCAGTGGTTCAGTGTCTTGTTTATAGTTGTTAGCTTGCATGTTGGCATTCGAACTGGCTGATAAAAAAAAGAATAATTAAGTTCATAGCAAAATATGTAATCAATTATAATATGTATATGTACAGCCTTGGCCAAAAGTATTAGGCACCCCACTAATTACTTTATAATTAAAAAAAAACATGTGAAGTATTGAAGTTTTATTAGTAAAACAGTGAAAATACAATGAATTAGTGATAATAACTTTAATAATTAGTAGGTCCACCCTTCGATTTCCTAACGGCAGCAATTATCTTAGGCATGCTGCGTACAAGCTTTGCACATTCGTCCGCACTTATAGCGTACCACTCATTAATTAAGGCATTCTTTAAGACAGTTTTTGATGTTATACTGTGTTCCTTAATCTTGCGTTTTAAAATTCCCCAAATGTAAATGTAAATGCGATTAAGATCTGGAGACTATGCAGGCCAATCTAACAAAACAATGTTGTTATCTCTAAACCAACGCATCGAAGTCGCCGATTTGATTTGATTCATTAGACCCCAGAAAATTTGACCAATCCTCTCCAGTGGAATGTTGGTAGCAGCAACCCATTCCAAACGATTTTTCCTAATCTTTTCTGAGAGCCACGGCTTCTTTTAAACCTGATTCCAGAAGTCTTTTCCTAGCTGTTCGAGCACTAATTGGTTTACTCAATTCATCAGAAAAGGCAGCTGCAAGGGCAGAAGAAGATTTTTTGCGATCCTTGAGAGACTCGCGTATAAGTATTCGGTCTTCTCGTTTACTGGTTAACCTCTTTCTTCCACTTTTTGATTCATTATTGTGGGATTTCGTCTCCACAAATCGTCTGATGGCACGTTCGACCGCGCACCAAATTGGCAATCTCAACCTGAGACTTACTTTCTTCACTTAGAACTTGAGTTCTAACTGTGTCATTTTGACTTTTCTTAGATATTTCGGTAAATATGAACTGTTTTGATTTTGAAGATTGACAACTTTCACTAAATATAATTTACACTTTCACTTTCAAATTTTAAATGCGAAAATATTTTATGAATTTCTTAAAAATGAAAATTTTTAGGTTTAGCTCACCCAGAATCAACAGTTAAACACCCATGTAAGACAATTACAATAAGAAGAATAAGAGTGGTAACTTTGATATCCACATTTGAGAATACTTGTATTTTAGTGGGGTGCCTAATACTTTTGCCCAGGGCTGTATATACAATATTTTTTACAGGCGGTTCCGCGGTATGTAGTTTGTTATTCACCTTCTAAGAAAAAAATAAAATGAAAGAAAAAATAAAATGTAAGAAAAAAAATAAACTAAAGAAGAAAAAATAAACTAAAGAAGAAAAAATAAACTAAAGAAGAAAAAATAAACTAAAGAAGAAAAAAAATAAACTAAAGAAGAAAAAAAAAATAAAATGAAAGAAAAACAAATAAAATGAAAGAAAAAAAAATAAAATGAAAGAAAAAAAAATAAAATGAAAGAAAAAAAAATAAAATGAATGAAAAAAAAAAAATTAAAATGAAAGAAAAAAAAATTAAAATGAAAGAAAAAAAATTAAAATGAAAGAAAAAAAATNATTAAAAATAAAATGAAAAAAAAGAAAAAAAAAAATGAAAAAAATAAAAAAATAAAGATAAAAAATTAAATAAAAAATAAAATGTCAAAATAAAATGAAAAAAAATTTAATAATATGAAAAAAATCAATAGAAAAAATAAAATGAAAAAAAATAATAGAAAAAATAAAATGAAAAAAATAAATAAAATGTAAAAATAAAAGAAAAAAATAAATAATATGTAAAAATAAAATGAAAAAAATGTAAAAAAAAATAAAATGTAAAAAAAAAAATAAAATGTAAAAAATAAAATATAAAAATAAAATGAAAAAAAAACAATATGAAAAAAAACAAAATGAAAAAAAAAATAAAATGAAAGAGGAAAATAAAATAAAAAAAAACTAAAATGTATAAATAAAATTTATAAATTTTATAAATAAAATGTATAAATAAAATGAATAAATAAAAGAAAAAAAATTAAAATTAAAAAATAAAATAAAATAAAAATTAAATTTAAAAAATAAAATAAAAAAAAAATTAAATTTAAAAAATAAAATAAAAGAAAATTAATATTAAAAAAAGAAATAAAAAAATAAAATAAAGTAATAAAAAAAAATAAAATAAAAAATAAATAAAAAATAAATATAAAAAATAAATAAAAAAATAAAATAAACAATAAAATAAAAAAAATAAATAAATTGCATTTGGAGGCGATCCTTGCTAATAAAAAATTTTATATTTAAAGAAAACAATGGCAAGAACATCCTTCTGCGAATGACTGCTGTATTTTTATGAGAAGCTCGTATTTCATGTCAAAAAATACCAGAAAAGTTGAAATTTTTTATTTAATTACACTATGAAAAAGTAATCATGTGGGAAGAAATGAATTTGCTTTGCCCCTTGAATTCGAAGCGATAATCCAATGATCGTTCAAATAAATTTTTTTAACAAAATTTTTTTCAGAACTGTTCACATTTTCAGTTGACTTTAATTATTTTTTATTTCTCGCTGGATTTAGTCGGTACTTTTATTAAGATTTTTTTCTCTGCCTTTTGTTTCCCCCCAATGTGTATGCGCAAGAAAAAAGCATTATCTTCGTTATTTAATACGAACAAAATTACCAACACGCAGAGTGAGCAAACATATGGTAAAAAATCTAAAAATACCAAAAGTGGAAATGCAAAAGGAATACAAAGGTATACCAGATAGTTCTTTTACCGGCCTCAAAGTGGGGTGGGGTTATGAGTTGTAGTTTATTACAATGCGTGCCACATTTCATAAAAAGAAAGTAAGAGCTTATAGTTACAATTATATATCAGATAAGACAAATTTCTACAAGAAATAAATTCAATTGAAATTTTGTATTTGTTGTATTATTGGAAAACTTTGAATTGAATCTGAGAATTAATAAAACAGGGACATTTTAATATATCTGAAGTCATAAGAAAAATATCATGTACATACATATATCATTGTTTACTTTAAAAAATAAGGCAATATAATGTGCGCTCAATTGTAAATATATATGTGCGCATCTACACCTTTATAATATTGATAAATGATGGCCGAAAGTTCTACTAAACACATAATGAATTATATTTGCAGTTATATTAATATTTATTTCATATTAAAAAATTTGTTGACTCTGAGTCATGAGTTGTCAAATCAATTAAATTTAAAACTTGCTATTGTATTGAATAAACATGTATCATATATTTATATATTTTAATTAATCACTTAG